ATGCTTTTGTTTCCTATAAAAGTGACATACGCTGATTAGGTGCTTGTGATTAATTTTAGTCTCTGTCTTGCAAATAAAGGAAAGAATTTCTCTGGCATGAGCAGGCTCACATCCCTTACAAAATGAGATGTGGTATTAATGTATTCACTACATACCAGAATGTTTTATATGTAGAAATGTGGCCATCAGGAAGAATCAAGAGAATCATTACGTGGTCTGAAATCTGAGCATAAAACTGACATTAGAAAAGAATCTGCCCTTGAAATAAAGAAAAACAGAGTCTGTGCTACGTTACTTAGAGTCCATTTTAAAGTCCCTACACCTGGCCCAGCCGGGCTTGGCTCAGTGGTTAAGCATCGACCTAGGGNTGTGCTACGTTACTTAGAGTCCATTTTAAAGTCCCTACACCTGGCCCAGCTGGGTGTGGCTCAGCGGTTAAGCATCGACCTAGGGTCCAGGCGATCAGGGTTCGATTCCCGGTCGGGGCACATGCCCGGGTTGCGGGCTGCAGCCAATCAATGACTCTCTCATCATTGATGTTTCTATCTCTCTCTCTCCCTCTCCTTTCCTCTCTCTGAAATCAATAAAGATATATTTTAAAAAATTTAAAAAAATAATAATAATAAAGTCCATACACCCGTACAACACGGAGGAGCAGCCGCCCGTCAGGCAGTTTACTTCATTCAGTTGCCCTTTGAATTCCTAGTTCTTCCGTCGTGCTAACCTTGGATTTTGTGTACATCACAACGAACATGGATCAGACATTAGGCCAAGTGGCGTAGCTTTTACTGTAAGACTCTGAGAGCTGGGATTTCTGTTTCTTTTATTCACGACGCAGCCCCAACACCCGTCGCAGAGCAAGGGACCTAAGTAAATAGGCGCTAAATAAACATGCATTGAAAGCATGAACTTGCTTCCATTTTTGGCCTTGAACAAACAGGTTACATTCTTTACAGAACCTGTATTGACTTTTCTTTATATCAACTTGCTTCTATAAAAAGAGGTAAACAAGAACTGAACCAAAGGTTAATTCCTAGCAAAAAAAAGTAGTTGACAACAATAAATGACCAACACAAATGCTTGCAATCTCTGCCACCTTAAAATTATCTGAATTAGAAGCTATGTTTGTTTCAGTGTAAAGTTACTGAATAAATAGCACAAACAGAAAGGCTAAAGAACTGCTTTTTTCATACTACTAAAAGGATACTTCAAACAATGTAGAAAAATCTACATACAGTTCATTAAATAGGATTAAAAATATATGAAAAAAGAGCTATTAATAAATATGCTTCCGTATTTCTTTCTTTTAAAACTCAAAACACTGTGGTCTGCCTTGTGCCCACATCAAAGGAGCCCAACTAACTGAGAATAAGAGAAATGAAGGCTCAATTCAATATCTCTCTCCTGGTGCCTAAACACATTTTACAAAAACATTCTTTGAATTAACAACACACTGAGAAAACCAGAAACAGACCAGGAAGATAAACCCACAAGAGAAAACAACCATGACAGCACCACGCATCCCCCCCTCCAGTTTTCTCCAAAACATTGTTTTTACCAGATGAACACAGTAAGTCAAAGAGCTCTATTTTTAATGTATGAGTCTTGGTTGTGGCACAAACAGGTCAATGGAAAAATCTCTTGTCTTCAGGAAAACACGAGCCTATAACACACTATGTAAGTTTATAGAAGAGCACGTCTGACATAGGAAGTGTCAAAACAAAAGGGCGAATGGACCAGTGAGATTAGTGAAGGTTCCAGAGAGAATTTTAGAGTAACTCAGGAAGAAGTGACAATGTGCTCATCAATTTTCAATATTCCCCTCATGCAACATAACTATATATAACTTTAAAACTATACAATGATATAACCAATAAGTAAAAACTACAATCTATATAATTATATGGCTACATATAAATACAGGGTGGGGGCAAAAGTAGGTTTGCTGTTGTTCATATGGAAAATAATATAATAATTAATAAATAATAAAAGAATAAACTGTTCCTCATACAACTGTAAACCTACTTTTGCCACACCCTGTATATGCATTATATATATTTATTTCATACGTAAATCTAGAAAAGTGCCAGCCAGCACAGACTAGCTAAAGAGAACATGAGAGAGTTTGGGTTAGTTTTGAAGAAAACTGGAGTAGGCCACAAATCACCTACCACGCTGTGATGGGGAAAGAGGATTTTAAATGAAGTTTTGCTTTGTATTATCAATGACACTTCCTTGCAATTTCTTACGAGAATGGAATAAGGATTTAAATCACTTTTCAATTATTTCTAAATGTCACTTGTTCTTTTATTCCACAAATATATATATTACTAGAGGCAATTCCTTGAGACTGTTCACACTGGCAGCTTCTGTAGAGATGAGCCTTATAAGGGAAGCAAGAAGGACCAGCTTCCTAAAAGCTACAACAAAAGCACAGGTCCCGAAGAGAAAAACCATATTCCAAGCTTGTTCAATTCTTTGAGAATATCAACAATTAGGTTACCTTTTATGGTATGGCCTGGGAGCCTGTTATGTGCAATTTAGAAAATGTATGCGGAGTGGCAGTCAACCAACAGATGAACTTGGATGCAGCGTTTCAAACTGGAGACTTCCTGTTCCCTAGGCTGGCCGCCTTCTCCCCATAGCTAGTCCTGATGCTGTTCAATTCTCTTCTAAAGGTTAAAGCAAAGCTTTACCAGCCTTCACGAATNTGATGCTGTTCAATTCTCTTCTAAAGGTTAAAGCAAAGCTTTACCAGCCTTCACGAGTAGTGATTAAGTGCAACTTAANTCTCTTCTAAAGGTTAAAGCAAAGCTTTACCAGCCTTCACGAATTTCTCACGAGTAGTGATTAAGTGCAACTAAATTCCAAGTACTGTTAGACTGAGAAACGTCTTCAACCTAAATGCACTGACATGAAGACAATATAGGCACCGGCAGCAATAACCTAAAGCCACTTCCATTACAAAACTGGTCCTTGCTTAAAAAAAAAAAAAGCCATGATATTTCCCTAGATCATGACTCACAAAAAGTGTTGTCCGTGATTAACAATGGCATTTGTCTTATACCCGGTGCCAGGAATGGGAGCCTGTGGCTGATTGAAGCCAGCACGACATTAGAGATCTCTTCTAAAAATGGGACACTGTACGGCAACTTCAAGATCTTCCAGGGGAAACTAGATGATGAGTGTGTTAATGTCTTCTGAAAACAATCTGCTAAATGCTTTTTGATCCTGTGCCCTGATTACTGGCTGGCCTATATAATTTTGGCAATGCTACTGTCCTAGAGGGCCTGGCATTTTGACAAGCAGTTAAGGTCTTCAGTTTAGAGGAATTTTGAAAAAGCCAAGATAAGCAGACCAATTTCCTAAAAAAGTATGTTCTTCTGATCTTTTAAATGTTAAAGGGGCCACATCAGTGGATTATTTTGAGCAAGGGAAGTTCTGCCTTATAAAGACTGCCATTGTAAACAACTGATGCCCCAGCAGTCACACACTCCAGATAAAGTCCACGTTCCAGGCAAGAAGCAGGAGGCTTCTTGGGACTGGGCGAGAAGGCAAACTAACTTGGTAGATTAGATGTCCCATGTAAATTACTATTTGTTGCTAGTGAATATGGTTGTTGTGAAGGGTGTTTAAAGATCTAATAGGACAATGTACAGAGCATGCCTACCACGGCATCTGACATTATCATCATCACAACAGACACTCATTCAGCCCATGTTCAGATCAGGTGCTTTAAGGAGACATGTAATAGCAAAGAGTTATCTGCACTCCCATGTTCACTGAAGCCTGTTACAACAGTCAGGTTGTGGAAACAACCTAAATGTCTATCAATGGATAAATAAAGAAAACATATACTCATAATGGAAAATTATTTAGCCTTCTAAAAGAAGGAAATACTATCATATGTGACAACATGAATGAACTTGGAGGACCTTACATGAAGTGAAATGTGCTAGTAACAGAAGGACAAACAATGTATTATCCCACTTATGTGAAGTATTTAAAATAGTCAAACTGGTAGAATCAAAGAGTAGAATGGTAGTTGCCAGGAGAGAATAGGGAGAGAGAAATGGGAAGTTGCTTAATAGTGGGAACAAAGTTTCAGTTAAGTTTCAGAGCAAGTTCTAGAGATCTGCTGTCCAACATTGTAACTACAGTCTACAATAAAGTACTGTGCACCTAAAAATTTGTTAAGAGGGCAGATCTCATGTCACATGTTTTTAAAAAAACTTTTAAAGAAGAAATGTAAAGGAAAATAATCTTTTCTTTTTTGCAGCCTCATTTTTAGACCAGAATATCTCTAATATCTCAAAAGTATTATAATGTAATATATTGAAATTTATATTTTCTAGTAATAATTATTTCAAACATTATTTTGTTAATAAGAATCCAATAGGAAGGGAAAAGTAACAACTTAATGATAATTTCTAAAAAACTCAGTTTGCTCACTGGACTTCTCTGGCAGAAACACAATTACTGTATTAGAGAACAAAAAGGAGCGTTAAGTATTACTGTAAAAAACAAAACAAAACAAAGAACCAAGCAAAGAGATTAAGGGAATGCCAGACCTAGTACTAGAAAGGGATGTCTGTACAATGCTCTTTGCACTAATAAGATTAATATACTGAAATGATGTAAGTCATCCTTAGATGGCTTTTAAGAAACAGACACATTGACCAGCTGTTTCTCCTAATTTATTGATTTTAATCCTCACGAACACTTTGCACCATAGGGATTATTAGCAATACTTTTTTTTTTTAGGTAAGGAGACCAGGGCCAATGAAAATCGTAAGACCAGTAGGAGGCAAAATGGGACTCAGATCCAGCTGTAACTTAACTACAAAGTCCTTGCTCTTCTCAATACACCTCCCTGCCTTCTGAAAGGTGGCACCAGTCTTGCAACATCTCTGAAATTAAAAGATATCACTCTTGCTCATTTTCTGGCTGTTTTTTAGAAGATGTTGATTTCAGAGGAGAACTGTTCCAAGATCACATACCTGTGGTCGAGTCGATGGAAAAAAGGAAGGACAGGTCAGTGGGGATGAGCTCATAAGCCACGGCTCCATATATCCCAGAGTCCCTGTCAGTGGCAAGGACATTGACGATCTCCGTTCCTGGCTGGGTCTGGCCACTAATGCTCAGCACATAGGAGGATGGGTGAAACACAGGCTCATTGTCATTTGCGTCCTCCAGTTCCACACGGACAAAAGCTTGGGCGCTTAATCCACCCTGTTGATGAACAAGAAGCGGTTACAAATGGATCTCTCCTTGAACCCTGGGATACAGAATAATTGACAAAGATCCTAGAACATACTGTTGAAACAAATATATGTATAAAACTTGGAGGTAAGTTCATGTGCAATAGCATGGTATCTATATTCCAGCACTTATTCTTAAATATGAGTATCATTACACTTAAAGCACCTATGAGGCAATAATTTCAGAGTAGAGGTCAAACACTGATAGTCAAAGTTTTCCTGCTGTCTAAAGAGAAAAAAAATCAACTTTATCTCTAGGGTAATTTTTAACCACTAAGGAGAAGGAAGAGGTAAGGAAGTATTGGTGGAGAATACAATTTTAGAAAAGGTCATCAGTGAAAGGCTCACTAAGAAGATGCCATTTGAATTACAGGCTGACCCATATGAGGGAGTTAGACTTCAGTTATCTGGAGGAAAAGCGTAACAGAAAAAGGAAATGCAAGTGCAAAGGCCCCGAGACAGGAGGGCAGTGTTCATCCCAGGCCTGTTCAGGGAACAGAAAGGCAGGAACAGATCATGGAGGACTCTGTGAGCCTCCGAGAGGACCATGGCTCTGACCCACTGGAGGGTTTTGAACAGAGAAGTTGCTTCATTTGACTTAGACTTTCACTGGTACTTTGGCTGCAGTATTCAGAGTGGATTGAAGGCCAGCGAGGGTGGAAGGAGAGAAACCAGTCAGGAGGCTATTTAGAATCATCAAGTCCAAAGTGAATGGTAGCCGTGAAGGTAGTAATCCTAACTATTTGGGACCAGATTAGTTTTAGAATTCTGAATTTTTCAAGTTTTAAAAAATTAATCTACTGCATAAAATAGTGAGAGGTGGATCTGATACTGTTTATTTTGTGTTGCCTCCTTCTCAAAACAAGGCGAATAAGATAGAAGAAAACAATCCTCTGCAGTTTTTACTTCTCTAAAGTAAAACATATGTTCCTACTTTAAAGCACCACTTTCCATTTGTATCTAGTACATTTTGATATTTTCATCTTTGACAAAAATCCTTGGTAAGTCACAGCCTGGGTTTTCTCACTCACTCCTCCTCTCCTCCCCCTTCTCTTGCTCTCTCTTTAAAAAATGTTTTTTGCTCTTTCTACTATGGCAGGAAGGCACTGAGGAGGAAACAGAAAGACAGTGGGAGAGGGGTTTTGGCAGGAGAGGAAAGGAGGACTGCTGCTGTGCAGGTCTGCAGGAGCTCATGTGAGGGCGAGGGAGGGCCAGGAAGAGGTCTGTTCGGGATGACGTGAAGGAAGAATCTGGAAGTGGCTCTCAGGCTCTGAGGTCTCATATATCTCAGACTCAGGGACTAAAATTAAATGAAGAAATCCATCTTTGTGCAAGTGTGATTTTCCTTGTTCTAAGTTGAATACAGTGCCAGGGCCATGCCAGCGACAAAGGGATAAAAACAGTGGAAGTTTCATCTATCCTGTATACTTAAATGCAGATTGGCTCTCTGTCTTCCACAAACCTAAATGACCAGTAGGTCCCCAGGTGGAGTGAGATAAGAGGGGACTGCAGAGTGGTTGTGAGCAAATAGAAAGCACTGCGCACCATCAGACACAGAGCCGGCTGTTCCTCCAAATGCCCTTCCTTCCCCTCCCCCAGGCTTTCCTGTTACCTTTCCTTTCCCTTTCGTTTCTTATTTCTGCTCAAGTTCAAGACATCACTTACGTCTGAGGAGGGCCTGAGACAGCAGAGAGCAGAAGTAATGAGAAAGTGGGGAAAACGTGAAGAAATGAACTTTGTTCCACCCTGAGATCTTTGAGAACAAAGATGTTAATTCCTAGGCTGTCCATGAAGATCCCAAACCAGGCAATGCTACCAAAAACAGGCAAAATGTTAGGTGGACAAAGTGAAGAGTGCATTGTCTTGGCCACTGTCTCCTATCCGGTCTCTCTGTTTTTCCCTTCTGGGGCCATTCACCTTGGCCATTGTCTCCTATCCGGTCTCTCTGTTTTTCCCTTCTGGGGCCATTCACCTTGGCCATTGTCTCCTATCCGGTCTCTCTGTTTTTCCCTTCTGGGGCCATTCACCTTGGCCATTGTCTCCTATCCGGTCTCTCTGTTTTTCCCTTCTGGGGCCATTCACCTTGGCCATTGTCTCCTATCCGGTCTCTCTGTTTTTCCCTTCTGGGGCCATTCACCTTGGCCATTGTCTCCTATCCGGTCTCTCTGTTTTTCCCTTCTGGGGCCATTCACCTTGGCCATTGTCTCCTATCCGGTCTCTCTGTTTTTCCCTTCTGGGGCCATTCACCTTGGCCATTGTCTCCTATCCGGTCTCTCTGTTTTTCCCTTCTGGGGCCATTCACCTTGGCCATTGTCTCCTATCCGGTCTCTCTGTTTTTCCCTTCTGGGGCCATTCACCTTGGCCATTGTCTCCTATCCGGTCTCTCTGTTTTTCCCTTCTGGGGCCATTCACCTTGGCCATTGTCTCCTATCCGGTCTCTCTGTTTTTCCCTTCTGGGGCTTCTGAACAGTAGAATGTTCGTATCTATCCTTCATGACTCTCGGCTGTTGCGGGCTGTGGTTGCCTCTGTCAGTGCATTCTTGTCTACAGTTCATGGTTCAAGGAACGAAGCTGAAGGGAAATGAGGGTACAGTCTGTTCAGAAACAGTAACAACAGTGAGCTGTGGTGTCGCGAAAGCCAAGAGAAGCAGAGTTCAAAGAATAATTTCAAGTTCATGGAGAAGCTGAATGAAATGAAAATAAAGAAATAACCCCAGGACGTTACACAGCAGAAATCATGTTCATAAAAGCAGTGTTCCTAGAGGGGCAGAATGGGAGGACCAGATCAAAGAAAAACTAAAAGTGAAGAAACAGACAACGATTTTAGGTGGATGTGCTTTGAAAGACAGAGAGGAATTACATGGTGTTCTAAAAAGGTACATGAAATGAAAAGGGGGCTTTTTTAAAAGATAGAAACTATTAGTATACCTTGTAAGCTTATGGGAGACGGTCAACAGAATTTGAGAAAATCATTATAGGGGTGATCTCCTTCAGAAGGCTGGAATGGATGGGAACCTGAACAGCAGAGGAAGTTGCTCTTGATGCGAACAGTAACATCTCTAATATGATAATGTGTGCTGACAGCAGGCAGGAAGGTAAGGATGTCTCTCTCAAGCAGGTGTATTACTTTTCTCCAGGCATATTCAGCTGCTTAGGCCAGTGCAGACTAGGTCGGGCTTACACAGGGCTGGGCTTTTACGGGAAGGGCTCTATGAAGTGAGGGAACTAAAGAGAGTTTGAAACTGAATGACTTCAATGATGGGCCAATAAGCTAGTGATCTTAACACAGGAGAATTATCAACTGAATGCAGGTGCTCCAGCAAGTGAGACTGAAAGATAAGGATGCTTGTAGGAATAGAGCATGCTCGAAAGCAAGATTGCAGAGGTTGTGATCCTTGGGAATGAGAAAGTCAAGGAACTGAGAGGCTCAGTGTTTGGGGTTGTTCAATAAATGGACATTGAAGTCTCCTCAAGAGAAGAGTGGTAGAGAGGAAGACTGTAAGTGAGGTGTGAGGGTCCAGAGTGACAACGAGGTTGAGAACACGACAGCAGCAACAGTGTCCATGGTATAGTCTGAAACAGGAACTTCAAATGTGAATTGGTTTTTGATGGAGAAGGGAGTAGAAATGATTTGGATGCTGCGATGGCCAGCAAGGAAGGCACCCACCTGGACACCTCCCTCTGGGCTTGTGATTTAGCAGAATGTGGGTTTCTCTGTGAGAGAGTCAGAAAGGAGTTGGTATCCTTTGAGAGGGCCTGTTTTAATCAGGGCAAGAAGATAAAGGGGTAGCCAGAGACCAGGTTGAGTTTATAAGGGAGTTCGCCAAATGATGGGCTATGAGTTCCAGAAGGCATGGGAGACGAGCTTGGGAGGGCACAGAGGAGACTGATTCAAATTAAAGGATGAACAAAGAAGGGTGGGAATAAGAATGCAGAGGGTAATGGATGGATGGCAAGCTTAACCTTCTATAGAGAACGAGGTAAAGGGTTTTCAAAGACATTGTGGGATTGGTTCAGATAATATACTAAACAATTGTAGACAATCAGTTTGAGATATAGTTCAGACAATTTAGTTAAAAAATAATGGAGCAACTGGGCAAAGGCTTATTCCTGAAACTGAGGTGGGGGTGGCAGTCAATGAAAGATAAGATAGGAATAAGCACTTGAATATGTTTTGGAAAGTGAGATAACATAATCTATTAAAATAAAACTGTGCTCCAAATTTCAGTTATGCAGAATGAATAAGTTCCAGAGACCTAATGGATAGCACAGTGATTACAGTTAATAATACTAAACTGTATACTTGAAATTTACTGAGATCTTAAGTATTTTCACCATTCACTACATGAGCTGATATGTGTATTAAGTATCTTGATTGTGGTAATCCTTTCACGATGCATATGTATAATCAAAACATCAGGCTGTACACCTTAAATATATACAATTTTATTTATTAATTATACCTCAATAAAGCTGCAGTAAAAGGGGGAAAAAATGAATGTGCCCTTTTACTCAGCAAGTTTGCTTTTAGAAATTATCTGCTTTACACACAAACCATGCAGCACGAATTCAATAGCCAACTTTTAGCATGAATACATATAATGGTGAACGACTAAACCAATTTACTTTCTATATTGCTAGCTTGCCCCAGCCCTGCCCTAAGCCTGCAATGGCGAGATAGAGACAAAATAGCTTTATCTCAGACACATATTTCAGCAACTGAATCCAGGATGTCACAAAAAATAGAAACAGAATGTTAATAAACATACACACCAAAAAAGAGACGTTCACTTGATGAAAATAAATGGGAAAAGGAAACAAGAATTAGATATAAGCAAGGAATAATTAAATTATAGGGCTTTATTGGGAAAACCCACTTGATTTCCAATGTAATCCAGTTATTCGTTTCCATTAAATAACTTTATAGCATCCTCCTGGCTTCTATGAATGAGATAAATAGCAGCAACAGTA